ACCACAAAATACAAACACAGAAAAAGGTAACATAAAACTTGATAATATGTGTCTATAATGAGCTTTATAGTTCACCAATGTCTTCAATTCAAAGAGTATTTAGGAGTACTCCCCACATAAGAAACTTTGAAAGTTTGCAGTTTATATATGAAAAGAAATTGTATGGAAGTTTCTCCAAATTTGACAATGGTTCTAAAAATTTACCTGACAGGAGTTGTGAAGTTAGAAGCTTTCTTAAACATATATTTGTAAACAATAAGATTTCTATACCCAAAGTAGAATAAACCCCAAATTCTTCTTCCTTTTTTCATGTGGAACGTTATATCACAAAATTGGTATTTGCCAAAATGTGCAGAGTCAGAAGTTTAAGGAAGGAAGTGTTAGAAAAGTGTGCCAGATGATTGATTATTAAAAAGAGGATAGTATTCCTCTGGATTTTGTGAAGTTTGTGGTATTTTCAGTTGTTTACAATTTAACTTTTGGTCATTTTTCTTATTCTGCGTGTGTTATCATTTGTATCTAATTTTGTGTTCCTAACTTTGTATTCTTCATCTTTAAAAGGGCTCTAAAACTGTAAGCTTCAGACCCCACACCACCTGTCTGTAGTTGATAGTTTGTAATGTGAAAAAATATCATGCAGCACACGTATTCCCAAATGCCTAGCATGAGACGTAGAAGCTCCCTCCCCCACCCTCCATTTCTCAGCTCAGAAGAAAACCTGTAAGAAAGGTTTAACTTTTCCTGTGTATTTTCTTCAGATGTTTAGATCTGTTTTGTCCAATAAAGTAGACACTAGGCACACGTGGCTATGGAGCCCTTTAAGTGTGACTAAGGTACTGAATTTTTAACTTAATTTAAATTCCATTTAATTTCATTAAAATTTAATTTAATGAATTTAAATTGAAATGTGACACCACTACCCAATTCACTGATTAAAAATACTGCTAAATATGTTTAGAACAACTTGGGTATGTTAATTTACTTCAGCCATGAATTTTATGAAATCTATATGACACTGGTGTGCACCTTTGCTTGTGTGTGTGCACATGTGTGATGCGTATACACTTTTTTCCACAAAGGATAATACTCTGCATACACTATTCTACATCTTAGCTTTTTAACTTAATTATATGTTTTGCTCACTAACTTACAGATATCTCATTTATTAGCTGCATAATATTCTTTTCTATTTGTATGATCTTTTTTTCCCACATAGATGCTGGAGTGATTTTTTAAATAATTTTTTTAAGTTTACTTATTTATTTTGAGAGAGACAGAGAAGAGAGCTCGGGCAGGGGATGGTAAGAGAGAGAGAAGGACAGAGGAATCTCAAGCAGGCTCTGTACAGAGCCCGATGTGGTGCTGGAACTCCCAAAACTATGAGATCCTCACCTGAGCCAAACTCAAGAGTCAGATGCTTAAGCGACTGAGCCACCCAGGTGGCCCTGGAGTGACTTTTTTTTTTTTAATTTAAGTGACATCATGTCACTCCTGTGTTTAAAACCCTTCCATGGCTTCAGATCACTCTCAAAATAAAATCCCAAGTCTTTAGTATGTCTCTAAGGCCTGACCTGCTGTGTCCTCTCTCTGTTCTTCTGCTAAGTTCAGGGTAGTATGTGCATCTGTTAATGTGTAGATGGGGATTAAACACAGGTACTTGAGTCTTTTTTAAAAAACTCTGTCAGGAATGTCACCAGTAAAACAAAGTCTCTTTATTAATCAAATGTAAAATCTTACTTAGTTCCTCACTTATCTGACCACCACCAGCTCCTCTTAAAGCAAAGAAATCCGGTGTTTTCCTCCCCAATAGCACTCACTGGAGGAAAAATAAACCTTGTTAACCAGAGTAAAAAATGTTGCAGGCACTCTGTAATCAAGAGCACATTTGAGGGAGGAAATGGTATTATGGCAGATAGTTGAAGTACACTGTGTCTTAAGAATTTGGTGCTTCTTTATTGCTAGATTAAATTTCAGAATTGAGAGTCTAAATTTTCCTTTTCACATCTGGTGACACTTTTTTTAATCAGTGTGCAAAAGGAGAAAAATCTGTCTGCCTTCTCTCCATGCCTCTAACTGCCGTCCAGCCTATGCCAGACTTAAGGAAAAGCCTTTTACGTTGGCAAGCAAACTCCAAAATGGTTTCCAAACCTATTAAAAGTAAAGGAAGAGTTTTGCAGAAAAACTTTAGGAAAAAAAATTTTTTTATTGGAGCGGTACAAAATAAGAAGCAACTTTTAAAATTAAACAATGAAAAGTAAAAATGTGTTGGCTCACAGTGCGTGTAATGTTGCTGTTCTGGTGCCACCAGAGTAAGGCAGACTCCTGTGACCTATTAAAACTTAAAATTTAGGAATGTAGAATTTTGGAGGATTTATGATTATTGACAGCTAAAGGGATTATGGTGCAAGGTACGGTGATAGTTAGAAACACATGGACTGGAGCACATTTATCACTGAATGAATGTGCTGGATGAACAAATGAATAAACAAGGGAACCATGTTGCTTTCAGTAAGTAGGGTGTGTTAAGAGCATCGTGGGCTGGGAGAAGGGGACTGAAGAAATCAGGAAAGAGTGAAGCAGAGAGAAAAGAATATGAAGTGATTGCAGAGAAGCAGTGAGCTCTAAACTGAGGGTGGTATGAAATAGGACGCCAGGGGGTGAAGACAATGATTGAAAAATGAAAAGATAGCCATTTATGTGTGAGTCTGGGCAAGTGGCCACTTCACTTTGAAGTTACTAGAACTTTTCAGACTCTGGTTTTAATGAAATCAGGAGTGAGGGCATGTGGAGGACTGACCGAAAACAAGCTTGTCAAGGTGTTCAGAGAAGTTGAGAATTAAAGTGTAAGTAGGTCTGGTTGGAATGTGTTTAACACTGTTCATGAAGAAAGTGACAGAAAATCCAGCTGATCCTGGCTTAGCTGAAAAGGGGCATTCATTGTCTCTCATGAAACAGCCCATGGCTTGGGCTGACTTGAGGCTTGTCCTGATGCAGGTTCTGACAATGGTCCTCGTTGTGGAGGGCTGATACTCCTCTGGCGGATGGATGGCTGTAGCTGTTACATAGTTCTTTGGTGTATGTGCTAGTCCCTATTGCGTCCCACACTATGGGAGTGTCTTGATCAACAAATTTTTAATTTTAATGTTGAATTATACATTTCCATATAGTGTTGAATTTTAACCTTTTGGTTAAGCACTTTGTGGGTCCTGTGCAAGTAATCCTTGCCAACCGAAGATGGAGAAAATATTCCCTTACTTATCTTAACTAAAGAAGACCCAGCTGTTGGACCAATGACATTTAGAGTTCTGGTCTGCTCAGAATTCCTTGTAGGTTTCTGGGTGATGCTGTGTAGCGCAAGTTGGGGACCACTGGCTTACATGCTGCTGAAAGTCTTCCCAGGATTGCTGGGTACTGCCACATCACGGGGTACCCGCTCACCCCAGAAGACATGACGAGTTTGACTGAACACCTGCATATTGACCGGTTTTGTGGCAAAGTAATACGCATTAAAAGTTTTTGTTTTAAATGAGTAAAACTTTGCCTTTCTTTGAGAGAGGAGTTATTACTTGTATTAAGAGAGAATGATAAGAATGTATTAGTGGTTAGTTAAAAAAAAGAAAGGAAGTTAGGAAGGAAGGGAAGTAGAAAGGGAGGGAGGAAGGTAGGAAGGAAGGTAGATAGGAAGGTAAGTAGGAAGGAAGGAAGGAAAGTGGGAAGGAAAGTGGGAAGGAAGATGGGAAGGTAGGGAGGAAGGAAGGAAGGAAAGAAGGTAGGAAGGAAAGAAGGTAGGGAGGAAAGAAGGTAGGGAGGAAAGAAGGCAGGGAGGATGGTAGGAAGGCAGGGAGGATGGTAGGAAGGCA